CATTAAAATTTATATCTTCTTTAAATTTTTCGAAGCCTTTCTACGGTACGGAGTTTCGCTGCTTGTTATGTAGTTATTATGATTACATCTTTTTATTACAGATTGAACGAAACTATCCATTCCGGTAACTTTCTTCTTCCCTGATCTTTTCTTACCCGGAGTCCGAAACACGGCGAGCAAGCCAGAGCCTTTAGCTTCGTTAATAATGCACCTAACAGTACTCACTGATGTTTTTGTTGCTTCCGAAGTCTGTTTTAATTTTTCCATATCATTCTTCCCCTGTTTTATAATGAAGCAATATACGTCGTACACAAATTTTCTACCCTTTCTTTTAAGTACTACACCAGTTTGTCACGGCATAGTGTATGTTTTATAAAAAATCAACAAACACTCAACAAATAGCAGTGGCAACAAAGTCCACAAGCAATTATAACAAATAACTTAACGATTAATAACGATAGACTTTCCACTGTACGCAAGCGTACTTTTGGGAGCAAGCGGAAAGAGGGCGCGGTGCGGGACGCAAGGTTCGACTGATCTACCAATAACGCGCTCGATACGATTTCCCCTGCCGTCGCGCCTCACCCTCACCACCAAAGTGATCTAAAATTCGGTTCTGCGCAGTCAAGGTCATTTGCTCAAGAAGTTTGCCGATTACTATACCTACAATAGCTTACCTTAGAATAGTAACTCTATGCTTTTACGTTATTTGTCTATTTTTTTTTTCTTTTTTGGCAATAGCGTTTACTTTTTGCCAATGACGTAAATTAAAAGATTGGGAAACCAAATTAAAAAAGGATACGAAACACGAGAAACGATCAGATAAGTAGGAAGAAGTTTGAAACGGATAATAAAAATTTCATAAATAAAATTTCAAATATTTAAACTTTGATATGGTTCTGAAGGATGAAAGATGACAATTGTATTTAGTTTTGTCATTTTGTGGGTTAGTGATAAAAATGAAAGAAAGAATCATTAATCGAACACTTATGCCACATAATATCGCGGCAGCAAGTTAACGAGAACGGCAACTTCAAGTTACAATTAAGAACAGTAGTTCTTAATAAAATTGTAACTTTTCGGCTTCGATCAACAAAAGTAACTAGATTTCGGGTTGGCGCAAAAATTCGTCGCGTTAAATAACAGCTCACTTGAAAATCTTGATATGTGAGCTCTTTTATTGTTTAGTTCACTTCAGACACAGCCAATGTCAACCCGTCTCACAATGCCGCAGTGTGTATTCAAAAGTTGCAAAAAATGCCCGAAAAAGCAATTTAACGGCCGGAATATCTTACTTTCGGTAAGTACATGAAGTGTAAGTAAAATTTTAAGCTTTAAACTAATAAATAATATTAAATTTTAAACAAAATTACCGATTTTTAACCACCGCTATAAATGTTGACCAAGGTTCGCCAACACTTGGACAAAATTTTTGTTTAACAGAAAAGTAAATACATGGAGTAGATTTGTGATGTAATAATTTTTAAAAATTTGTTAGCAGTACTTCAAAATTGGTTAGTTGAAATTGGTTAATTCTGCTTTTGTGTCTGTTTGTTGGACTCTCATTAGATACTTTTTTTTTTTTTTTTTTTTCGGGTAGAGGTCCGAACCTCCTACGAGGTCCCCGCGCAAAAGGGGCGCGCGGGGTATGTGAGACTCAACGATCTGCATGGTGTTGTGAGCAGACCGCGGGCCCAAGGATTTTAGAGCCCACCCACTAAACGACTCCTCTGCACTCTTACACCCGACGTCCGATCCCCTCCGAGGTCAGAACCCGGATGAGGTAGGGGGGCTACCGCGGTCAACACTACNGTGAGACTCAACGATCTGCATGGTGTTGTGAGCAGACCGCGGGCCCAAGGATTTTAGAGCCCACCCACTAAACGACTCCTCTGCACTCTTACACCCGACGTCCGATCCCCTCCGAGGTCAGAACCCGGATGAGGTAGGGGGGCTACCGCGGTCAACACTACAACCAGACGGCGCGGCTCACCCCAAGGACGCCCAGCCGATGGAGCCTTCGAGGCGAATCGAAGGCTCTGAAACGTCGGCCGTCTCGGTACGGCAGCCCGTCGGGCCCTCATTAGATACTTAGCTTTCCATTTTTTTTATTTTAGCTTTCCTAGCAATCACGTGTGCAGAATGGATCTCGATTGTCGCCAGAGAAAGAAAAGATTACTTTTATAAGCCAGCTAAGAACTCCACTCATTGACACTGGACATCTTTGCCTTCCATGCTCACGGCTACAGAAACGTGGCCGAAGCATTGTAATAAAAATAACGCGCTTAAAACCGTTTAAACGTTGTTTCATTATATGTACTAGTCGCGAAAACATAAAAATATACTATAAAAATATGTATTACACAAAATGTAACGCTAATAAAATAATAAGTAATGTATAGATACTAACAAACATAAATCCTCAAAACATAAAAAGTAAACAACTAAACTTTTACTTTTATTCATAATTATAATAAATTATTTTAGTGTTCAACGCGACTCCGTTACCTCCTGTAGTAAATAGAAATCGATATTTCAAGAAGCAAAAATAAATAAAACAAAATGATGTTAGTTTTCAAAGCTATAACGGGAAAAATTACTTTATTTGTTGGCGGATAAGGTTGATTACTGCTTCACGGCAGAAATAGGCGGAGCGGTGGTACCTACCTGCACGGACTCACAAGAGGTCCTACCACCAGTAATTACGCAAATTATAATTTTGCGGGTTTCATTTTTATTACACGATGTTATTCCTTCACCGTGGAAGTCAATCGTGAACATTTGTCGAGTACGTATTTCATTAGAAAAATTGGTACCCGCCTGAGATTCGAACACCGGTGCGTCGCTCAACACGAATGCACCGGACGTCTTAACCCTTAGGCCACGACGACTTCAAAGTCTCAGTAAATAACCATCATCTTACAAGATTATATTTCAACCCATATCATTTCATGCCAATTGATTAATGTCTCAAATTAATCAACTTCATTTCATTTCACTCCATAAAATCATATTTTTTTAAAGATTAGGCTGTATGATATATTTAGGAAACACGAATTTTATAATAATGTTGAGGGTACAGTGCCTATAAATAGCAACACCTTTGCTCGAAACATTCACCACTTCGATAAAGCGGCACGACACGAGAACCCTCTCATCGTGGCCGCCGGTAACTATATTCCCGATCCTGCGGACAGAATGGAAAGCAGTCGACGTCGCCCAAAACACGTCATCTCGGATCCTCCCGATGCACTAACGGTGCTTCTAGGTACTTCAAGCACCGGTCACCGTTCTCGTCGAACCCGTCGCTTGCGACGAAGGGCTCGACGAGTAAATTAACTCTCAGACACACTACTACTAGGTTGGAAGTTTTTAAATTACTAATTATTTTAATCTTCTATATCCGGCGAAGTTATAACTTAATATTTTTGAGGAAATTGTTAAAAATAAAAACTTAATTTTTAATATATATTTGATCATAGTATAATACGAAACCAAGAATGGGCAATCTCCTTTATAGATCAATTTTTTAATTCTCCAGAACATTTAAACTTTTTAATTACTTACACTATTTCATATTACTTCTATCATAACGTCCCTTATGCAAATTATGTAATTTTTCATGAGAAATGTAGGAAAATTTTACATCTTATTGTATAATTTTTATATAGTTCTGCTAGACTATAGAAATACATTAATATTTAAACTACAACTTTAAACTTCATCAGTAAAAGCAAACATCTCTCTTGTCTCACTAATAACTATTAAAAAATGTATTTTCTTCTACTCGGTTCTGTATTAAGACTTTATAATACCTTATGTGCGATATGTATATACTCTCAGAAGTATTTTAAATGATAAACTTGAACAAAATCATTTTCTACAATCTTCAGAAACATGTTCTTACACTACCAATGAATGGAATTAGTTTTCACGAACTTCACAAATATAACGTTTCACTGGGTTATGTATTTGTAGATGCAATTTTAAACAACAAATTAACCCGAAATCTTTTTTACACGCTTCATAAACTAAGATTTTTTTGTAGTATGCATTCGCACATATATTTTTAAATTATAAATTTTTTTTAAAACATTTATTACACAATGCCCGTACACGGTTTTTTCTCAGGTATGTGTTCTCGTATGTCTTTTTAAATCGCCAATTCTTGCAAAAGCTTTTTTACAAACTTCACAAACATAAGGCTTTTCTCCGGTGTGTACTCTCATATGTGATTTTAAATGGCTAATATGTGTAAAACCTTTATTACATACTTCACAAATGAATGGTTTCTCTCTTGTGTGTATCCTCACGTGTATTCTTAAATGATCCAGTCGTGCAAAGCCTTTGTCACAAACTTCACAAATATGCGGCTTTTTTGATGTGTGCGTGGCCATATGTGTTTTTAAATAATCATATTGTGAAAATTCTCTATCGCACTCGTCGCAAACATAACGTTTTTCTGCAGTATGTCTCCGTAGATGCTTTCTTAAATAACCGATATGTGCAAAACTTTTTTTACAGACTTCACAGACAAAAGGCTTCTCTGCCATATGTATTATCATGTGTGCTTTTAAATTGTCGAATCGTGCAAAACCTTTTTGGCACACTTCACAAACGTATGGTTTTTCTGCTTTATGTGTTATCATATGTGATTTTAAATAATCGAATAGAGCGAAACTTTTTTCGCACACTTCACATACGTATGGTTTGTCTGCGGTGTGCCTTTGTAGATGTTTCTTTAAATAACCAATATGTGAAAAACATTTTTTACATATTTCACAAACATATTGTTTCTGAGTTTGGGGCATTTTTAAATGTGTTTTTTTTATTAAAACTTTATAAAATGATCTGAAAACACAGAATAATCGACAAAAAGTATTTCCTTTTTTTTTTAAGAGATTTTATGACCTGGTAACTAAGACCTTTAAGTCATGTCTTATTTTAATTTATATTATTCATATTTTTATGAAAAATGATATTATGGAGTGAAATGAAATGATGATTAATTTGAGACACTAATCAACTGGGATGAAATTAAATGAAATGAATTGAGATGATATGGGATGAAATATAATCTCAGTAAAATGGTGGTCATTTACTAAGATTTTTTCAGTGGACTTTTTGGAGGATCCCGAGAAGTTACGTCCAGTGGCTTTGTTTCATTTTCCCACATTTGTGCACTTTCACAGATATTAAACATTTAATAAACCACCATTATTACACATTTAAACCCGAAGAAACACTAAATATAAAAAATAAAACAAATCACACAACTTTACTCCTCGCGTTCCCGCCAAAAAGTAAAAAATATTTCCTTTATACTATATAGATATAGTAGATATCTTTTTGTATTTTTTTTTATCTTGCACGGTTTGTGCATTTAGCCACATACAAGGGTAAAGGTAGGGAAACAGGAGAAAAAGGAAATCGGAAAATTAATAAGAATGGATCAGGTAGGTATGTATATACACCCGAGGGACCTGGGCGGGCCCCCCGGCGCGCACTCTACGTTTCCACTCCCAGGGGTATCGTCCGGTCTTTTTCGTTGCAAAGATTTCTAGGTGTTAGGTAGGTAGGCTAGGTGTAGGAGTAGGGTAGCCTAGTTAGGCTTTGCAACGAAAGAGATCGGATGACGCGGACCAAAACCAGCAGGGGGAGTTGCGGGCTCTCCACGCCCTTCACTCGCTGAAGGGTGTTCCTCCTGGAGACGCTCGGGCTCCCTCTCTCTTCCCCCTTCTTCCCCTTTTTGTTTTTTCGGGTAATGTCCGACCCGTTTCGGACCTAACCCATGGGTGGTGGTGGGCCACTTTTGGCCTGCCCTTCGATGGAGAAGTGAGCCGGCGTTGCTTACGCATCTTCCGGCCGCTGGTCGCCATGTCCCCGGCTTCGGCTACAGGGGCACGTCCTCCAGAGGGGGGTACCGGTATACCGGCGTGGCTTCGTCGTTGTTGCTCTTTTGAGCGTCGGGCGGTGGTCTGCCGTGTTGCTCGTTGCACTCGGCGGGCCGCCGGCCAACCCGTAATCCTCACCGCGTGGAGGACGGGGGCCGCTGCCGCGAGGCACGGGGCCGCGAGGACGTAAACCTCTTTAAAAAATGCCCCAATCCTAAGCTCTGGTGCCCGGCGATGGGATGAATGGCTGGAGGGAGTCCAGTCCCGAGGGTACCAACCAGACCCCAGGGGACCGACCCCTGGTTAAACAAAAAGGAAACAAAACATGAAATGGCATCTATTCAAAAACTATTACCCCAGGAGGGTACCTCCCGTCTGGACTGCACGTCTTTATTTTTTTTTAAAGTACCTTGACATCTAGCGCTTGTTTTAGATTTTCCCATAATTTTGCACTTTCACAGTTTGCTACACTTTTTCAATTAATTACCTATATTACACGTTACAGGTTTAAATAAACAAGAATTACCTATTTAAATGCACACACTTTAAATTCTCCCGTTTTAGTAGTTTCATGATCTGTGATTTCATACGTTTAACTCCTGTTAAAGGGGAACGCGGGAAGTGAAGTTGTGTGATTTGTTTTATTTTGTCTATTTTGTGTTTATTCAGGTTTAAATGTGTAATAACGGTGGTTTATTAACAGTTTAGTATCTGTGAAAGTGCACAAATGCGGAAAAATGAAACAAGCCGCTGGACGTAACTTCTCGGGATCCTCCAAAAAGTTTACTGAAAAAGTCTCAGTAAATGACCACAATTTTACTGAGATTATATTTAATCCCATATCATATGATCTGATTTCAATTAATTTCATCTCAGTTCATTAATGTCTCAAATTAATCATCTTCATTTTATTTCATTCCATGTTATCATTATTCATAAAAATAAGAATATTAATTAAAATAAGACGACCTAAACGTTTTAGTTACCAGGTCATAAAATCCCTTAAAAATCTCTTGTTAAATAAAAGGCGTACCGGTAAAATGGGGTGACCCATTTTCGATCCTGTGGAAAGAATGGAAAGCAGTCGACGTCGCCCCAAACACGTCATTTCGGATCATCCCGATCCACTAACGGCTTTTAGGTACCTCAAGCACCGGTCACCGTTCTCGTCGAACCCGTCGCTTGCGACGAAGGGCTCGACGAGTAAATTAACCCTCAGACACAGCCCACTGAGTTTCTCGCCGGATCTTCTCAATGGGTCGCGTTTCCGATCCAGTTTGTTATCCAATTTAAAACTATGCAACTAGCATTCCAGTTTAAGCAAAAAAAGCAAAAATAGATGCTATCCCTATTTACCCACAAATTGCGGTTATTGGGGACGTAATTAGTGTTAATAAAGAAATTTGCCAGGGCTGGCACTCCTTGGTTTTAATATATTTATTTAGTTGCACTAACAAAATGATCATCAATAAAAAACATTGAAAAACTGACAAAAGTACCTAGTTTTGCCATAAATACTGAGACAAAGGAAAAAAAATTGTATTGCAAATAACATTTATTACTTTTACAGTGTGTTAGTTTAAAACATAAATATAAAACAATTTAAAGTATAAAAAGCTTATTCGAAGTGGTCTCCATTGGCTGCAATACAGTCCTTTAAACGTTGAGGCCAGTTATCAATAGAAGCACGCACTCTTTCCATGGGAAAATTTTTCACTACCAATCGTACGGATTGTTTTAGGGACTACTAAATTATCATGGCGTTTAGAGCAAGCCGTACTCTCTAAAACTGACCATAGGAGTAAGGACCATTCTTGATTATTAAACATGGTGTTGTTAAGGGAGTTAGATGGGTGGACGAGTCCACAGCCTATCTAATGCTAAGTTGTTACCAAAGCCCATAGACATCTACAAAATACATACCATCACTCATCTTGAGATATCAGTCCCAAGGTCTCAGTATAGTTATAACAGCTGCTCCACCCTTCAAACTGAAACGCATTACTGCTTCACGACAGAAATAGGCAGGGTGGTAGTACCTGCCCGTGCAGACTCACCAGAGGTCCTACCACAAGTAAAAAATGTGTGAAATGTGCTTTACACACATTTCATAAGCTTAAGGTTTTTCTGTTGTATGTGTTGCCATGGGTGTTTTTATAGTACCTAATATTCATGCAAAGCTTTTTCACACACATCACAAACAAGGTTTTTAAGCATTGTGTACATGTATATGTTTTCTTAAATAATTAATATGTGCAAAAGACTTTTTACACATATCACAAACATAAGGTTTGACTGCAGAATGTGTTGCCATATGTCTTTTTAAATTACAAGTTTGTGAAAAGCTTTTTTCACACACATCACAAACATAAGGTTTCTCTCCAGTATGTGTTCTTATATGTGCTTTTAATTCAAACATTTGGGCAAAGCCTTTTCCACACACATCACAAACATAAGGTTTAACTCCAGAATGTGTTGCCATAATATGTTTTTTTAAATCACCCTTTCGGGCGCAGCCTTTTCCACACACATCACAAACATAAGGTTCTTCTCCAGCATGCATTCTCAGATGAATTTTTAAACCAGAAGGGTCTGCAAATTCTTTTTTACATACTTCACAAAGATAAGATCTATCTCTGGTGTGAATTTTCAAATGAATTTGTAAGCCACTACGATATCGAAAAGATTTTTCACAGACTTCACAAACATAAGGTTTCTCTGCAGAATGTGTTCTCCTGTGCATTTGCAAAGAATCATTTCGTGCAAAGCACTTCTGACACACTTCACAAATGTATGGTTTTTCCCCAGTATGTAATCTCATGTGCAATTCTAAAGCATTTTTTCGTGTAAAATATTTTTTACAGACTTCACAAACAAGGTTTTTCTGCACTATGACTTACAATGTGTCTTTTTAATTCACTGATTTTTGTAAAGCGTTTTTCACACACTTCACAAACATAAGGGTTTTTAGGAGAATGCGTTTTCGTGTGCATTTTAAAGTTCTCTATAAATACAAAACGTTTTTTACAGACTTTACAAACATATGGTTCGTAAAATGCATCCATTTTTGTTTATATATAATACATAAGTAAAAGAAAAACCTTGATTTGCAAATTTTACACACGAGAATGCTCCAAGTTATGTTTTTTAAGAAGTGAGATCGGAAACCAGACAAAATTAAAAAAAAAGGTACTCCTTCTAAAGAGTATGTATCTTCTTGTATTTTGCGTTTTATTTTCTTTCCAGTTACAAGCTATATTTTTTTTGATTTGATCATAATTCTGATGACATGTCGGATCACTTTTTGTGAACTAAGGGACGAATTAGTAGTTGACTCTTTAACTTTTAATTAATCTCCACCACACTATGTAAACAAAATACAGAATTGATGTCGTTATGTCACAGGCTGCACTTATGGATGTAAACGTCTCTTCCGACCTCCTGCTCTTGTAGTTTTCTTGTTTCATCAAGCTGAAAATCAGAAACCAACCAAGGCAATAGTTCACCAAGAGTCACCAATCGAGCATCAGAACCATAGATTATACACTTAATATATTTGAGACAGAACAATTGTAAAGTACAAAGGAACGTAAAATGTCACAGATTTTTTTTTTTATGGCATCACGCAGTGCTTATTGCCACAGACAAAGGTAAGGAAACTGAGTAGAAAAGGAAAGGAAAAGAATTTTACATCGAACGAAATTTACATCGGATAAAGGAAAGGATCAGCAGGATAAAAACTATGTCTAATACAAAATTCTACGCTAAGGAAAAGAACAGTAATTAATAAATTAAATTAAATAGAATATTAATTATATACATAGGTATGTACTTATAATTGATGTCATAGAATTTTTGCTTCCTATATATATAGGTAGGTACTCAACTTTACATTATTAGTCTATTTTAATAAGAATCCTTGTGATTATGATTTTTTTGAAGTGAAACTTCCTTATCGGCGTTGGAAAAAAATTTACCGTCACATTTTTCGGTTACGCGTCACTTTTTTCCGTTACGCGCCATCTGTTTTGTATTCATGTCTATGATAATAAAATCCTTTTGTTTAAACTTTATCTAATTTAACTTTTTTGTATTCATGTCTATGATAATAAAATCCTTTTGTTTAAACTTTATCTAATTTAACTTTATTTAACCAATTTCTAGAAAGTTGCATGTAGATCATTTTTCGAAAAATAAGGCCATAAACAAGTTTCACTTCTTACGTGTGTACACTAGTACACGCACACATTTTTTTAAAAAGAGTTGAACCAATGAATAGGAATCAATTTATGTAGGTACGGTACCCATAGAATAAACACATAATATATTTGAGACGGTACCTACCTATCAACATTTTTGTTTTTTTATGAGATTTTATGACCGGGTAACTGAGACTTTTAAGTCTTATTTTAATTTATATTATTCATATTTTTATGAAAAATGATATTATGGAGTGGAATGAAGTGAAGATGATTAATTTGAGACACTAATCAATTGGGATGAAATTAAATGAAATGAATTGAGACGATATGGGATGAAATATAATCTCAGTAAAATAAACATTTACTGAATTTTTTTCAGTGGACTTTTTGGAGGATCCCGAGAAGTTACGTTCAGCGGCTTTGTTTTATTTTCCCACATTTGTGCACTTTCACAGATACTAAACGGTAATAAACCACCATTATTACACATTTAAACCTGAAGAAACACTAAATAGACAAAATAAATCACACAACTTCACACCTCGCGTTCCCGCCAAAAAATTCTTTCTGAAAGAACCGTGACCATAGGCCATAGATAGTACACTTAATATTTAAACCGTGACGCTTACGTTACATTTTCCCGCACTTTCGCACTCACAGTTTGTTAAACTTTTTCAACGAATTACCTTTATTAGACGTTAAAACCTGAACAAACAGAAAAATATTTCAATGAAACAGTGTACACAGCTCAAAACAATTGAGTGTATAAAATATGGCTCAAATCCTCTCATGTTAGTAGTTTCATTATTTTAACAGGACAGGCGATGGTATTTCACTGTACTGCCTAGGCATACTAGACTAGCCTTCTAATAATTATTTTGTTTGATGAAAAAAAAATTACAAACGAAATATTATTTGGATTGAATGAACTGATGTTGTTTCATTTGGGGCTAGACAATTGAGACGAGATTAAATAAAACTAGATGAGATAGAATGAAATAAATATTCCTAGGCCTGCGAAGGTCACGAGACCTATATCTTTCTTGGCATCTTCGCCTGGTGAACGTCGGGCACGTAAATTCATAGCTCTTCAAAATGTGTCAAAGTGCAACACGCGAAATATAAAAAGTAGTCGTGCGTCGAAATCTGTTGATTAGTTAAATGAGTACTTCAAAAATTTCGAATTTTCAATTAACAATGTACCACCTTTTCATTTACTGAACTACAACGAAACCAACATTAGCTCTTCTTTCTTGTAATTCTTATTCCGTGCCGACACGCACCGACCGGCCGGCGCAGCGGCGCCTTGTACATCATTATTATGAGCTTGTATCGTTATTTTGCTGCGATGTTATTTTAAAACTGCAATATCTTCTAAGATACTCATTGAAATCAAATTAAATAAAGGGCAAATTTGTTTCAAATAAAATACTTTTAATTTGAATAACGTATTTGAGTAGAATATATTATTTTATTCGAAATGCGGCGCCATGACAAAGGGATCCTTATTCGCAGTGAACGCGCAAACTTGTGTCTTTAACGGGTTGAATTTAACCAAGTTCAATTCAGCCATCCCGTCCATTCGGGGACTCGCCCTAGAGAGTTCTCCACTTCAGACACAAATTTTGATCATTCCTCTTGCACCACACTCCGAGAGAAACGCTGATGTCCGATGTATCGCGCATCCCCCATTCTGTCATCCGCATAGCAATGCATGCCATCAATAGACAGCATGTCTTGCAGCAGAACCTTGTGGAACGCCAGCCTTAATGGTCATGGTATCAGAGCAGTCACCGTCTACAACGACCGTGATGCTCCGCCCATCCAAAAAGCTAGCTATCCACTTGCAGAGACCCTCGGGGATACCGTAAGCTAGCTTCCGTAAGGTAGCTCCAACACAAGTGCCCTATGCCAGACCCTGTCGAAGGCGTTTGCGATATCAAGGCTCACAGCAAGAGCCTCGCCCTTGCTCTCCAAAGCTTCAGCCCACTAGTGAGTAAGGTATACAAGAAGATCGCCAGCTGAGCGACCGTGACGGAAACCATACTGTCGGTCACTGATCAGCTGGCAATCCTCAAGATACTTCAGGAGTTGTGTATTTATTATTCGCTCCATCACCTTGGAAAGCAAGAAAATTATCGCGATAGGTCTATAGCTCGATGGGTCCGACCGGTCACCCTTCTTGGGGATAGGGTGGACGTGGGCGGTCTTCCATGAAGACGGAATCCTGTTAGTGCAATAAGAGGCGATACAAACGCGTAAGCGCAGGCGTCAGCTCAGGGGCGCATGTTTTCAGAACCACTGCGGGGATACCGTCTGGCCCGCTCGACTTATGGACGTCCAGGAGTCGGAGCTCCCGCTTGACTGCACACTGCGTGAAGAAGATCTCCGGCAGGGAGCTATCATACCGAGGGATGTTCGGTAGTGTGGCACCCCGTCGTCCAAAGTCGAGTTCGAGGCGAAGAGTTTGAATAGTGGTGGGATATTAGAACTGCGTTTCCTTTTGCATCTTTGGTGAGCGACCAAAAAGCACGGCTCCCAGAGGGATAGCTCTCTTATCCGTTCGCCAATTCTACCAACGTACTCCGACTTCGCCTTGGCAATAACCTTCTTGTAGGACCTGGAAGCGGCGTTATATTTCCGCCTTTAATCTGAGACGTTAGGGTCCTGACGTCTCCTGGGATCATCCCAGGCCGCGTATGCGGACCGCTTAAGGTGTGCAGCATCCCTACTGGCATTGTTATGCCAGGGTCTGGCGCGACCCCCAACGGGCACCTCAGAGGAGGGAATAAACAATTCCATCCCCTGGAACACCACATCTTTAAGATGGTCCGCACAGATCAGCAGGATCAGGTCAGGTCAGGATCAGCAGAGGAAAAGCAGAACCGCCCCCATGGGTAGGATACGTAAAATTCACGCAACCCATCCCAATCTGCTGACATATACCGCCAAACTCTTCGATACCCGGTCGTCGTTCAACGACAAAGACGAGAGAGTATTATGGTAGCACGAATAAGGCAGTGGTCAGACGATCAAATATAATTACAGTCAAACCTGGATAAGCGAGAGTTCAAGGGAGCACAATCTCATTCTCGCTTATAGAGGTTTCTCACTAACCCGAGTTTCTCGCTAATGCTCCCTCTGAATTTCATTTCGCGATTTTCTGGATTCAAACGCATTCACTATTCACTTAATGACAGTACTTTAATTTTCCGTTTTGACATGATGCAGAACAGAACTTTCCTTCGCAACTGATTAACGATAAACTGAGTAAGTCCGACAAACAGGACGGTACACAGGCACACGTGTCCATTCGAAAAGAATGCGATAAAATAACAACGTTATTTAGTTTCACGAAATAGAACAGGTTCAATATTGATGAGAAAACAATACAAAAACAATGGTAGGAAGTTTCACGAAAGTTAAGAATGAGTCATAAAATAGCAAATGATGAATTTGTAATTTGTTTTGTGATTTGTTCCTCCTAATAATATAAATAAATAAAGCTCGACTGTCGCTTATCGATAAGTAGCAGTCTCACTTACGGAGGTCCATGTGGGAAAAACGACTCTCTCTTACTGTTTCTGTTTCTCGCTAATAGAGGTTTTGGGAGCTTAAAATGACGGGTCCTGGCTATTACTCTCACTTATAGAGTTTTCTCACTTATCCAGTTCTCAGTTACCCAGGTTTGACTGTATATATAAATTATTATTATAACACAAATATTCCCCGAATTACTGAAGATATTACTGGATGCCTCGAAACTTACACAAAGTAAAAATATAATTAGTGGATTTCGTACTGCTGGGATACATTTCATTAATCCTTTGTCAACTATTCACAGAATTGAGAACTCCGGATACCCAAAAAAAGAATTGCAAAACAAAAAATGTGTGTGTGTGCAAGTTACACACGATAGAAGTGAAACTTTTAAAAAATAAGAATAATCGCAAGGGTCAACCACCAACGGCTCCGCAGTGAAATGTAGAGCTGTAGCAAACCGTATGTATTGCGTAATTACTGGTGGTAGGGCGTCTTGTGTGTCCGCACGGGTAGGTACCACCGCCCTGTCTATTTCTGCCGTAAAGTAGTAATGCGTTGCGATTTGAAAGGCGAGGCAGCCGTTGTTTTCTTTTTTTTCCCTACTTAAGTTGATAGCCTTGAGAGGCTATTTCAGCGTAACCGTAACTTGTAGGTAAGCTCACGGGGCTCAAACCGGAGTGATGCTAACACTGACCCTAGCAAGAGCAGAGCTTCGCAAAATCTACCACCGGATTGGAAACGCGAACCACTGAGAAGATCCGGCGAGAAACTCAGTGGGCTGTGTCTATGGGTTAATTCGCTCGTCGAGCCCTTCGTCGCAAGCTACGGGTTCAACGAGGACTGTGACCGGTGCTTGAGGTACGTAAAAGCACCGTTAATGGATCGGGAGGATCCGTAATGACGTGTTTTGGGCGATGTCGACTGTTTACCATTCGGTCTACACGATCGGGTATGTAGTAAAGAGGTTTCTTATGTCGTGCCGCCTTTTCAAAGTGGCGCAATGATGCCTACTGTAGATACTTACTGATCGAGTCAAGTTCCAGGTCATCATGGAGATCCACGTTCCTGAGGAACCATGGTGCTCCGACGGCTATCCTGCAATATCTCGATTGAATAACCTGAAGGGGTTTCAAGTTAGTGCGGACTGCGTGAGCGAACACTACGCTTGCATACGTCATGACGGGGCGTATGCAAGTTTTGTAGAGAGTTATCGTATACCGTTGTACTGTAAACACTGAGACCTTAGAACTCATATCTCGTCTGCGAGGGAGATGCTGGACTTCCACCGGGCGCCTCCATAGGTGGCGGATCACGGGATCCTCTGGGCGACATTCCCAGAGGTATCGTCCGATCTTTTTCGTTGCAAGGTTTTTTTTTAGGTTTAGGTCCTAGGTTTAGACGTGGGCAACAAAAATGAAAGGAAAGGTCATACACAGTGAAGGGAGAAACATAATCCTGAAAAGGAAACATAAAGGAAAATTATTACTGATCAATTGGGATACAAAAAAAGTGCAAGAATGCCCGGGTGGTCTTAATACAAAAACCTGATATCGCTATATCCTAATGTACCTATGTATAATACATTGTTAAAAACAATAAATGCAAAGTAAAATCTAGCAAACATTTGTTTACATTTTTAAAGTCATAGCGAATCCTTTTTTCAGACCATACCTAAGCGGCAGTGTGTCGTAATCGATGCGAGGTGCAAACTTAGCTTGGTCGAACTGTACGTTGTAAATGTCTATGGGCTCCGCTAACCACTTAACACCAGGTGGGCTGTGAGATCGACCACTCATCATAGCAATAATTAAAAAACCTGAAAAGTTGTAGATTAGGTCGACACAAGTTAAGTACTAGTGACTTTTTTAATTTTGATTTCTATGCTGATAGCCTTGAGAGACCATATCAGCATTGCCCTAGCGTGTAGATGAGCTTTCGGGGCTTAAACCGGAGGTGTTGCTAACACTGGCCCTAGCAAGGGCAATGCTAAGTTGAATCTACCACCGAATCGAAAACGGGACCCACCGAGAAGATCCGGCGAGAAACTTTCTCCATCCATTTCTGACCAGCATAAAGAAAAATAGGTAAGACTGGTACTCTTATAGACGAGTTTTGTAGGTCTCCCGTATGGATGTGGATTGAGTATGTATGCGTCGTCTGGACGCGTAGTGTAATATGTAAGTACCTGAGTAGGCGCCGTCGGTGTTCGGATAATAAATGAAATACGACACCTTGCACACTAATTAAATGTTTATTAAAATTTACACTTAGTCCACACGAAAATACAACACGGTCTATATTATTAAAATTATGAAGAATGGAAGGTTATGAGCACAGACAGATATTCAGNAAAATTTACACTTAGTCCACACGAAAATACAACACGGTCTATATTATTAAAATTATGAAGAATGGAAGGTTATGAGCACAGACAGATATTCAGTTTATAAACAGTACACAGAAGACACTTTACACTTTACGACAATACAGCAACGATAGACACAAAGAAAGCGTGTTATCAAAATTGAGGAAAAAGCTTCGAAAACAATTCAACGGTATATATTTAACAAAAGCGACGTGCGTTCAGTACGAGGTAAGTTTCGACTGGGGGCGTGGCTAGCCGCGATCAGCTGCGCAAGAGTATATTTCCCAGCTACCCGCGACATTCCGTTCAAGCGCGCGTGTCCACAGCGCAAACGAACGGGCGACCAGCTGATTGACGCGGTACGATAAATTGTCGTGTGTGTATGTCTGTTTTATATGTAATGTAGTAATAATATATTAATATATATGTTATATGTGTGAATGTATACTCTGTGTGTATTAATAATTATATTAAATAAATATATTATATAAGTATTATATTGTCAAGAGTAAATGTGTGTGCATGAAATGTGGGATAAGCCCACACTCTTATAAGTANTGATTGACGCGGTACGATAAATTGTCGTGTGTGTATGTCTGTTTTATATGTAATGTAGTAATAATATATTAATATATATGTTATATGTGTGAATGTATACTCTGTGTGTATTAATAATTATATTAAATAAATATATTATATAAGTATTATATTGTCAAGAGTAAATGTGTGTGCATGAAATGTGGGATAAGCCCACACTCTTATAAGTATAATTTGCATTTAATCTAATCTATAATACAATTCTCAGAACAACTATTAAATTATCAATTTGTGTAAATTTTTTTTTTTACACATTTCCCAAACATACGGTTTTTCTCAAGTATGTATTGTCATATGTGATTTTAAATGAGCAATTTGTGAAAAACCTTTCTCACACACCTCACAAACATAAGGCTTCTCCCCAGTATGTATCCTCATATGTGTTCTTATATGACTGATATGGTTAAAACCTTTATTACATACCTCACAAACAAAAGGTTTCTCTCCAGTGTGTATTCTCATATGTGATTTTAAATGACTTGTTTGCGAAAAACCTTTTAGACACACTTCACAAACGTAAGGTTTATCTTCCATATGCGTTAACATGTGTGATTTTAAATAATCACAATGTGCAAAGTCTTTTTCGCATAGTTCGCAAACATAGGGTTTTTGAGCAGTGTGTATACGCAGATGCTTTTTTAAATAATTAGTATGTGCAAAAGATTTCGTACAGACTTCACAAACGTGTGGCTTCTCTGAAGTATGTGTTGCCATGTGCGTTTTTAAGCCACTCATTCGTGAAAAGCTTTTTTTACACACATCACAAACAAAAGGTTTCTCTTCAGTATGTGTTCTGAGATGAATTATCAAACGAGAAAGGTGTGCATATCCTTTACTACACTTGTCACAGACATGAGATTTTTCTCCAGTATGTATTTTCATGTGTGTTTTTAAATTACCAGCATGAGCGAAACATTTTTCACAAACTTCGCATGCATACGGTTTTTCTCCAGTATGTATTCTTAGATGAGATTTTAAATCACTACTTCGTGTAAAACATTTTTTACACACTTCACAAATGAAAGGTTTTTCTGCTGTATGTATTCTTGTGTGTTTTTTTAAAGTATCGATTCGGGAAAAGCTTTTTTCACATATCTCACAAAAGAACGATTTCTCTCCAGTATGCAGACTCAGGTGCGATCTTAAATGACCAATTTGGGCGAAAGCTCGTTCACACACTTCACAAACATAAGGTTTTTCTGAGGTATGTGTTCTCAAATGTTTTTCTAATGTATCATTTCGTGCAAAACATTTTGTACACATTTCACAAATATACGGTCTCTCTCCAGTATGTGTTCTGTGGTGCTTTTTTAAATTATAAATTTTTGAAAAGCTTTTCTGGCATACTTCACAAACATAAAGTTTCTGAGCTGTACGCATTTTGACATGTGTTTTTAAATTAATCATTTATAAAAACTTTCGATTCACACAAATTTTTTACACCTGATATAGTTTCCCAAGTAACATATTTAAAGAACAAACATCTGAAAAATACTGAATGAACCGTAAACAAGCATTTCCTCTTTAGAGTATGTCTTTCTTAAACATTAAATTAAAATAACACCTAACAATACTTAAGTATATAAATATATATTGTACTTCATGTTCTCAAATAATTCTATGTAATTATGCGCTACATTGTATGCATAAGGTAGACCTTCCGCTACCTATCTCAGACCCTTACTCTACTCAATTTACATCTCTTCTTTTAATCTGGTAGATGTTGACTATCTCACTCGTAAGGCGAGTACGGAAGACTGACTTATTCTGTCAATGTGTGTATATATAGTATCCATTCTATTTTGAGTGTCAACATTATATTTTTTAATTTGCACATTCTCTTAATTCTCTAATAAGTTGAATGAACTTCTCAGAATTTGATTAAATTTGGATCTTATTTACTTTAAACTGCTGTACACATCTATAGTCTTGATTATGAGTCTGTCTGTGGGTTGTTGAATTTGTAGTGATCGACAAATATTAATAGAACTCAAATATTTGCAAATTAGTCTGCACCACACTGAATAAAATGCAGAATCGATGTCGTTATATCACAGACTGCACTTATGCATGTATATGTCTCCTCCAACCTCCTTCTATTGTCTCATCAAACTTAAAATCACAAATCAACCAAGCCAACACCCAACCAAGAGTCACCAATCGAGCATCAAAACATCTGATGCAAAGTGCAATGGAATGTTAGGACTAAATATAGTAGAACTTTTGCTTCTTGTATGAGATAATCAATTTCATATTCCTTCCAAAGACTCTGCCTCTCAGAGTGGCTCCAATCTGTAGATTTTTTAATTACATACTTTGTCCGGGACGAAGTTTTCGTCTCCTGTGTGAAGAAACGATAATTTTAGCTGCAGCGAAATGTATACATTATCATTTTTTTGTAGCATTATATAGTCTATTGTGAGTTTAAATTAGAAAGTTCTCTGTCTGCGGCACCGGTATCAAGAAATGAAGCTGTAACTGTTTTTAAGTTACTATTAAAGCCCATACAAATCACTACTGGAATGTCACTATCCACTTTGAAATTTTAATGTGAGGTCGAAATTTCTATTGTAATAACGGCTGCACTACGTTTCAATAAAGGGATCATGACCGGAGTCCGCTATGACCGTAATGTGAGTTTCATCAGTAACTAGAATTGAGTTCGGAATGTCCGTTATATTGTAAACTGCTGTTGCACCCTGCTAAGGACAAGATGCGAAGAGAGAGTCCGAGAAACTAGAAAACACGTAAAACTTACATCTCGAGTTCTATTTGGGATCTAAATAGAAATACTTTTATAATTTTGTGAGTATGTATAAAGTTCTTTCAAATTAGAACTAATAAAATACAGCCTATGCTTTTTGAACACTGTCAATAGCTCTCAAACTCTCAAATATAATAAGTGTTTAATCTATGGTCAATAGTGTCAATCAATTAAAATCGGACTTTTTGGCGGGAACGCGAGGAGTGAAGTTGTGTGATTTGTTTTATTTTGTCTATTTCGTGTTTCTTCAGGTTTAAATGTGTAATAACGGTGGTTTATTAACTGTTTAATATCTGTGAAAGTGCAAAAATGTGGGAAAATGAAACAAAGCTACTGGACGTAACTTCTCGGGTTCCTCCAAAAAGTCCACTGAAAAAATCTCAGTAAAAGACCACCATTTTACTGCGATTATATTTCATCCCATATCATCTCATCTCATGTCATTTAATTTCGTTTTCATTTCACTTCATGCCATGTTTCATAATAATCAACTTCATTTCATTTCATAATATCATTTTCATTTATAAAAGTTACGTATCATTAAAATTAAAATAAGACTTGACCTAAAGGTCTTAGTTACCAGGTCATAAAATCCCTTAAAAAAAAAAATCAATTAAAATCGACTTTTTGGCGGGAACGCGAGGAGTGAAGTTGTGTGATTTGTTTTATTTTGTCTATTTAGTGTTTCTTCAGGTTTAAATGTGTAATAACGGTGGTTTATTAACTGTTTAATATCTGTGAAAGTGCAAAAATGTGGGAAAATGAAACAAAGCTACTGGACGTAACTTCTCGGGTTCCTCCAAAAAGTCCACTGAAAAAATCTCAGTAAAAGACCACCATTTTACTGCGATTATATTTCATCCCATATCATCTCATCTCATGTCATTTAATTTCGTTTTCATTTCACTTCATGCCATGTTTCATAATAATCAACTTCATTTCATTTCATAATATCATTTTCATTTATAAAAGTTACGTATCATTAAAATTAAAATAAGACTTGACCTAAAGGTCTTAGTTACCAGGTCATAAAATCCCTTAAAAAAAAAAATCAATTAAAATCGACTTTTTGGCGGGAACGCGAGGAGTGAAGTTGTGTGATTTGTTTTATTTTGTCTATTTAGTGTTTCTTCAGGTTTAAATGTGTAATAACGGTGGTTTATTAACTGTTTAATATCTGTGAAAGTGCACAAATGTGGCGTCACAGTGCAGCGTTGTAGGTAAAATGTAGCATTGCTATAGATATAAATATTTTGTTGCACCCACAGAATTATCAGTTTTACTTTTAGTTAACAAATAGTCATTTAGTAAAACAGTTTAGCTTTATAGATCAAACAGTATATTATATTTGATTTATTTGATGATCAAATTTAGTGTGCAATTCAGTATTTTTTGTGGTAATTTCGAATATTTGAATAGAAAAAATTGCGTTTACAGTTGTAGGATTAAATACTACCCATTAAATAAAACTGGATGAGATAGTTTCTTATGTACTTGGCCTACGAAACCCACGGTACCTACGTGTTGGCTGTAATATGTTTAGGTCCCAGACACGTTCTTTAATCCACCCTTCCTGGCTGAGCCTTTGCTCGCCCATCAGTCCTGGTAAAATTGGAAAGGCTTTTGGGCCACCAGTAATCCTTCATAAGGAAAAACCAGTGATCGGAAACTTTGTCAACCAATAGGACCCAGATATAGATAGCTAGATGAAACACTATTGAAATAAATAAATAAAAAATATTTTGTGGAAGAGACGTAGCCGAAGAGTTACAGAGCCGCGCGTTGCCGACCACTGTTCTAGACTAGTCTTGCCTATGTCGAAAACATTCTTGGCGCCATTAGAACACTCTCGATATATAACTAGAATATTAGAGAATGAAAAAATAACGACACCATTGATAAGAATTTCCTTTTGGACACAACACGTACATAAGGTATCTCGGCGGTCTGTATTCTCAGATGCACTTTTTAATAGTCCTACTGGTGGTATAACCTGTTGTGAGTCACTGGCGGTAGCACCCCTTGTGAGTCCGCGCGGATAGGAACCACCACTCTGCCTATTTCTGGTAATGCGTTTCGGTTTGAAGGGTGGTGCCGCGGTTGTAACTATACTGAAACCTTTTTTTTTTGTCAGTAGGAAATCACCGGACTTCCGCCCTTCACTGGGGATCGAGGGCGGGGCATGTCGGAGTTGAACCGACTAAAACCTCCTGTCGCTCAACAAACAGCATCCAAACCTCGCATGAGACAGAACTCATGAAAAGGCAAAAGGGGGAAAGTGAAGCGTTTAGTGCGGAGCACATCTCTCCCGTCATCCTCCCCCACGGGACGCCGGACTGGCGGTCGACGGCACCACGACCACCAGCCCCCTAGGTCGATAATGAGACATCTGAGCAATAAAAAAAAACAATACGCGTAAAACATTTATTATTAACTACATAAACAAGGTTTTTTCTTCTCCAGTGTATATTCTAAGGGGGACTATAACAGACAATTATGTGAAAATTATTTTACATACTTTACAAACAAAGGCTTTTTTGTAGTACATATTATTTAATGTATTCTCAGATACATTATTAAAATATCAATTTGCGAAAATGCTTTATTACACTTTACACAAGCATAGTTTTTCTTAAATATGTATTTTCGTATGCCATTCAAAATTACCAATACTTGAAAACCGTTTTTCACAGTTTACAATAATAAGACTTTGCTCTAGTATATACATGAAGCTTTATATGTGTTTTTAAATAACTAACGTAAACTAAAACCTTCTGTTTGTGAAGTACAAACAGAATGTTTATCTCCTGTATGTATTCTGTGTGATCTTAAATTTTTTTATATTGATTTTTGTTCATTGCTTAGATGGGTGGACGAGTTCACAACCTATCTGATGCTAAGTTGTTACCAAAGCCCATAGACATCTACAACGTAAATACCACCACTCACCTTGAGATATCAGTTCCAAGGTCTCAGTATAGTTAAAACAGCTGCCCCACCCTTCAAACTGAAACGCATTACTGCTTCATGGCAGAAATAGGCAGGGTGGTGGTACCTACCCGTGCAGACTCACCAGAGGTCCTACCACAAGTAAAAAATGTGTGAAATGTGTGTAAAACACATTTACTCTCATTTCATAAACTTAAGGTTTTTCTGCCGTATGTATTGCCATGCATGTTTTTATAGTACTTACTCATTCATGAAAAGCTTTTTTCACACACATCACAAACAAGGTTTTTAAGCATTGTGTACATGTATATGTCTTCTTAAATAACTAATATGTGCAAAAGACTTTTTACACATATCACAAACATAAGGTTTAACTGCAGAATGTGTTGCCATATGTTTTTTTAAGTTACTAGTTCCTGAAAAGCTTTTTTCACAGACATCACAAACATATGGTTTCTCTCCAGTATGTGTTCTTATATGTGCTTTTAAATCACCCTTTCGGGCAAAGCCTTTTTCACACACATCACAAACATAAGGTTCTTCTCCAGCATGCGTTCTCAGATGAATTTTTAAACCAGAAGGGTCTGCAAATCCTTTTTTACAAACTTCACAGATGTATGGTTTTGTGACAGTATGTATTATCATGTGTATTTTTAAATTACCCTTTCGAGTAAAGCCTTTTCCACACACATCACAAACATAAGGTTCTTCTCCAGCATGCATTTTCAGATGAATTTTTAAACCAGAAGGATCTGCAAATCCTTTTTTACAAATTTCACAGATGTGAGGTTTCTTGACAGTATGTATTAGCATGTGTTCTTTTAAATTTCTATATTGTACAAAACATTTTTTACATACTTCACAAAGATAAGACCTATCTCTAGTGTGAATTTTCAAATGAATTTGTAAGCTACCACGATATCCAAAAGATTTTTCACAGACTTCACAAACATAAGGTTTCTCTGCAGAATGTGTTCTCCTGTGCATTTGCAAAGAATCATTTCGTGCATAGCACTTCTGACACACTTCACAAATGTATGGTTTCTCCTCAGTATGTAATCTCATGTGCAATTCTAAAGCATTTTTTCGTGTAAAACCTTTTTTACAGACTTCACAAACATAAGGTTTCTCTGCACTATGACTTATAATGTGTGTTTTTAATTGATTGATTTGTGTAAAGCGTTTTTCACACACTTCACAAACATAAGGGTTTTTAGGAGGATGCGTTTTCATGTGCATTTTAAAGTTCTCTATAAATACAAAACATTTTTTACAGACTTTACAAACATAGGGTTCATTAAATGCATCCATTTTTGTTTATATACATAAGTAAATAAAAAAACCTCGATTTGGAAATTTTAGACACGAGAATGCTCCAAGTTATGTTTTTTAGGAAGAGAGATCGGAAACCAGACAAAAAAAAGTACTGCCTCTAAAGAGTATGTATCTTCTTGTAATTTGCGTTTTATTTTCTTTCCAGTTACAAGCTATATTACTTTTGTTATGATCACAATTATGTTGACATGTTGTATCAATGTCTGTGAACTGAGGGACGAATTAGTAATTGACTTTTTAACTAATCTGCACCACACTGAACAAAATGCAGAATTGATGTCCTTATGTCACAGGCTGCACTTATGGATGTAAACTTCTCTTCCGACCTCCTGCTCGTGTCGTTTTCTTGTTTCATCAAGCTGAAAATCACAAACCAACCAAGCCAATAGTTCACCAAGAGTCACCAATCGAACATCAGAACAACTGTAATGTCCAATGGAACGTAAAATGTCATAGAATTTTTGCTTCCTATATATATAGGTAGGTACTCACTTTTACATTAATAGTCTATTTTAATAAGAATCCTTGTGATTATGATATTTTTTTAAAAGCGTTGAACCAATGAATAGGAATCACTTTAAGTAGATACGGTAGGTATATCTACCTACTTTTTTTTTTTAAGTGATTTTATGACCTGGTAACTAAGACCTTTAAGTCATGTCTTATTTTAATTTATATTATTCATATTTTTATGAAACATGATATTATGGAGTTCAATGAAATGAAGATAAATTAAATTTAAGACACTAATCAACTGGGATGAAATTAAATGAAATGAATTGAGATGATATGAGATGAAATATAATCTCAGTAAAATGGTGGTCATTTACTAAGATTTTTTCAGTAGACTTTTTGGAGGATCCCGAGAAGTTACGTCCAGCGGCTTTGTTTCATTTTCCCACATTTGTGCACTTTCACAGATATTAAACAGCTAATAAACTACCATTATCACACATTTAAACCCGAAGAAACACTAATTAGACAAAATAAAACAAATCACACAACTTCACTCTTCGCGTTCCCGTCAAAAAAGAAATACCTACCTACATTTTTTTTTTAAGAGATTTTATGACCTGGTAACTGAGACCTTTAAGCCATTTCTTATTTTAATGTATATTCTTAATTTTATGAAAAATGATAATTATGGAGTGAAATGAAATGAAAATGATTAATATGAGACATTAATCAACTGGGATGAAATCTAATCTCAGTAAAATGGTGGTCATTTACTAAGATTTTTTCAGTGGACTTTTTGGAGGATCTCGAGAAGTTACGTCCAGCGGCTTTGTTTCATTTTCCCACATTTGTGCACTTTCACAGATATTAAACGGTTAATAAACCACTATTATTACACATTTAAACCCGAAGAAACACTAAATAGACAAAATAAAACAAATCACATAACTTCACTCCTCGCGTTCCCGCCAAAAAGTCCATACCTACCTACTTTTTTTTTTGTGATTTTATGACCTGGTAACTAAGACCTTTAAGTCATGTCTTATTTTAATTTATATTCTTATTTTTATGAAAAATGATAATATGGAGTGAAATGAAATGAAAATGATTAATTTGAGACGTTAATCAACTGGGATGAAATTAAATGAAATGAGATGATATGGAATGAAATGTAATCTTAGTAAAATGGTGGTCATTTACTAAGATTTTTTCAGTGGAGTTTTTGGAGGATCCCGAGAAGTTGCGTCCAGCGGCTTTGTTTCATTTTCCCACATTTGTGCACTTTCACAGATATTAAACATTTAATAAACCACCATTATTACACATTTAAACCTGAAGAAACACTAAATAGACAAAATAAAACAAATCACACAACTTCACTCCTCGCGTTCCCGCCAAAAAGTCCATACCTACCTACACCTACCTACTACCCATAGATTAAACACCATGGAGTTAATAAGTACCTACAACTGTATGCTGTCTATTGATGGTATGCATTGCTATGCGGATGACAGCACGGGGGATGCGCGATATAACGGCCATCAGAGTCTCTCTCGGAGCGTGGTGCAAGAGAGACGATCAAAACTTGTGTCTGAAGTGGAGAACTCTCTGGGGCGAGTCTCAGAATGGGATGAATTGAACTTGGTTCAATTCCACCCAACAAAGACACAAGTTTGCGCGTTCACTGCGAAGAAGGAACCCTTTGTCATGGCGCCGCAATTCCAAGGAGTATCCCTGCAAACTTCCGGGAGTGTCGGGATACTTGGGGTCGACATTTCAAGCGATGTTCAATTTCGGAGTCATTTGGATGGCAAAGCCAAGTTGGCGTCCAAAATGCTGGGAGTCCTCAACAGAGTGAAGCGGTACTTCACGCCTGGACAAAGACTTTTGCTCTATAAAGCACAAGTCCGGCCTCGCGAGTACTGCTCTCATCTCTGGGCCGGGGCTCCCAAATACCAGCTTCTTCCATTTGACTCCATACAGAAGAGAGCCGTTCGGATTGTCGATAATCCCATTCTCACGGATCGCTTGGAGCCTCTGGGTCTGCGGAGGGACTACCTGGAGCCACTGCGGTCATCCACAGTGCGTTTCCAGAGATCTTTTCTGCCACGTACCATCCGGCTATGGAATGAGCTCCCCTCCACGGTGTTTCCCGAGCGTTATGACATGTCCTTCTTCAAACGAGGCTTGCGGAGAGTATTAAGCAGTAGGCAGCGGCTTGGCTCTGCTCCTGGCATTGCTGAAGTCCATGGGCGACGGTAACCACTTACCATCAGGTGGGCCGTACGCTCGTCTGCCTACAAAGGCAATAAAAAAAAAACGACGGCGTATCGGAATGGCAAAGGGAGCCATGACTGAGCTCGGTAAAATCTGGAAGAACGTAACATTACCCACAAAACAAAGATAAAACTGGTGCTCACTCTGGTCTTTTCCATTTTTCTATACGAAGCGGAGACCTGGACCCTTAAAGCGGCTGATCGCAAACGCGTGGATGCTTTTGAGATGTGGTGCTGGAGAAGAATTCTCCGGANAACGCGTGGATGCTTTTGAGATGTGGTGCTGGAGAAGAATTCTCCGGATACCTTTTACAGCGAAGAGAAGCAATCTGTCTATCTTAGACCAACTGCAGATCAAGACTAGACTGTCACACTCTGCCTTCGCCGCGCACTCGAGTACTTCGGTCATATTGCTCGGAAAACACCGGATAGCTTAGAGAGACTATTCGTGACAGGGAAGATCGATGGAAAGAGACCGCGCGGGCGCAGTCCGACAAGGTGGTTCGACCAAATCCGCACCACACTAGAGATCCCATTCCACGACGCCCTTCATGCGGCCAATGATCGGAGGCGCTGGCGGGACGTTACAAGGAGCAAAATCCTGACGACATATAATGGTCACGACCCTCAGCAGTGGGGAAACGACGTGAGGAGGAGGAGAATGCGTTTCGGGATTATTTGAAGCAGTAATGCGTTTGTAGATGTCTATGGGCTCCAGTAGCCACTTAACACCAGGTCGGCTGTGAGCTCGTGCACCCATCTAAGCAATAAAAAAAATCATGTACATACTTATAACAGAATATTCGAGGGCTAGGGATGGCGATCTCAAATCGATTAATCGAAGAATCGATTTTTCGGACCAAATAAATCGATTTTTTAAATCGATATGTCGTACTGAATCGATTCAGTGAATCGATATTTTACCCTTGAAAATCGACTTTCGATTTTTTCAGTTTTGGTAAAAAAAAAAAATTATTTAGAATTAGCTAAATGTACTCACAATATTACGGCATTGCCAGTTAAATGTTTAATTACTTAAAAACTCGCGAGATGGCGGTATGTTTAGTTTTCGTCGCTTCTCTTTAGTAAAAAACACCTTCCACAAAATAATAGTGAAGAATGCGACGCAATAGAAGGGACTGATTTAGAAAAAGGAATTTGGGATTTTCATAAGTTGCTTGTGAAAAAGCAACTCTCTACATGTAATACACTTGCACTGGAAAGTCAAGGCTTAAACGAAGAGTTTAAACACTATTTATCACAGGCAGTTGTGCACCTAAAGTATGATCCTATACTTTATTGGCAAGAACAAAAAAACTCTATTTATCACCATGTTCACTCAATAGCCGTGATGTATATGAGTATCGTAGGATCATCTGTTCCCTGTGAGCGCTATTTTTCGATTGCCGGCAACATCGCAAGTGATGAGCGGAACCGCTTGGATCCCATTAGGCTTGACAAATTGTTGTTTTTAAAAAGCTTAGATATGAAGCATTGGGAACTATAAGCTATTGTTATCTGCTCTCTTAACTTTTTAATGTAACAAATACATTTAGAAAATAAATGTCTTCTTTTATATCTGATCTGATATTTTGATATGGTAATAAAAATAATTATAATTATCGAATTCCCGGAACTAATAAATTCCTGATTTTACTGATAAGAGATCCCAGAGATTGTTTATTATGGTATCATTTTTGTTTTTCATAAAATGGATTTATATTTACATTGTAAATACCAATTTGAAAAAAATCGATTTTTTAGAAATCGATTTTTTAGACCTCGATTTTTTTATGAATCGATTTATCAGGTTACGATTCGAATCGATTTAAAAATCGATCTTTTTTGGAAAGAATCGCCATCCCTATCGAGGGCTATCATTATAGAAAATAAAACTACATAATATTTAATAATAAAAAAAAATTATGCTAAATGGTTACCGGGGCCCATCTATGGGCCGTAGATGGGCCGTGAGCTCGTCAGCCCACCTAAACAATAAAAAAATTATACAAATATAGCAAGTTTTTTTTTTACATCAACGTAATATGACAAATATTAAAATTAATCAACAATTTGATTTGAAAAATTCTTTCAGCCCATTTATTGAGGAAGGCTATAACCCAGGAGTGGCCAATTTTATTAGAACCAAAACCCACTGTTCACTGATGAAAGGCCCACCGAGTCTCTCGTCGGATCTTCTCAGTGGGTCGCGTTTCCGATCCGATAGGTAAAAAAAACAACTGACGAACGACTCTGCGATGTATCAAA